GCCACTGCCAAGGACAAGACCAGACTACAGCGTGTATCCACTCAGCTGAAAATGTGATTGGCTGTAATCTCCTGATCCTCCAGGACTTGCACACCTCCAGGACCTTAAAGCGTGCTGGGAAGATTGTGGCCGACCCCTCCCACACTAGACACAAACTGTTTGAGCCCCTCCCTCCTGGCAGAAGGTTGCACTCCATCAGGACAAGAACCTCACAACACAGAAACAGCTTTTTTCCTACAGTAGTGAGCTGCTTCAACAAGGCCAGAGACCCCCATTGACACTGCCCCTCTCCCCCACCGTAGACACTGACTCTATGCGGCACAATAACACACAGCTTAAAATAGGATTATTATTATACTCTTGCATGTTTCAAGTTCTTGTTTACACTTTATACCAGGGCTATTCAATTAATTTGGAACTGGGGCCAGTTCATGAAACTGAAGAAAAATAAGGGGCCAGAAAATATGAGTAATCACGGTAGCAAATAAAGAAATGACAACATACTGAAGGAATCAATATATTGTATTTTGTAAATGCTTAACAATGCACATTGTGATACACTGACACACAGAGGCCCAAGGCATTGTTACATATAACATTGTTACATTGTTAAATGTTCAACAATGTTGAAAAATCAGACCAGGTGAGCAATATCCAAGCCATAATAACAGACAATTAGAGAAATGCAGTTAACTAACAGAAAACATGCACCTAATTAGTGTTGCGAATTAGCACATGTGCTAAAACACTCAAACAAAGCATCTGGTCTGTCCAATGTGATTGTGATGTCCACATCAAATAAACAATAAAATAAAATAAATAATTGTACATAAGTGTACCAACACAACTTTACAGGTAGCTATCCTCAGTATTTAAGATTGCACTTTGAGTAACAGGCAACATCAGATTTATCTCCACCACCACCAACGACAACGACAAAAACAAACCAAAGTGCATAGTATGGCAGTGAAGTCGGGTATATAGGTTGTCAGGGCAATGCGCAAGCAGTTTTGCAGATGCTGGTCAGTAAGGGATATGCGATTGGGAGTTTTAATGGCATTCATGTGTAAGAATGATGACTAACGAGTGTACGTTGAACCAAACATTGTCAGAAGAAAAAGTGCATAGCACCCTTAATGACAGTGTTTGTGCCATTCCTCTGAAAAGCAGATCAAATGCTAAAATAATATCATCCATGAAAGAAAATCACCAGAGGGCTGTACTACGAAGCGAGATAAGTGGGTTAGCAAGGTATGTTCAGCCTAAAGTCAGAGTGTCATGAAGGTGGGTCCCTTTTAACCTGCTAGATCTTCATGGTAAGTTATGCTGTGGCGCTAACCTGTCATTAGCAGGTTATGTTCACAGTTTCAGATTTAAACTGGCTGTAAGAAGCATCTGTCTTTAAACAAATGGTTTCCTGATGATTCTTTATGAGCGATACAGATTCTCAGCTGAGGGAATGCGGTATAGTTGCAAACATGCCAAGTTGTGTGTTACTAATATCACTAAAGGAAGTTGTGCAGTTACAATATTGCACACTTTGTACATCGTGTTGCTATGGGAAGCCGACATGCATTTTGTTAGTGATGCAGAAATCACATCAATATGTTTTTATGTTTTGCTCTGATTTGCTGTCAAGTCTGTTTACACTGCTGGTACTGGAGCTGATAGAATACAGATTAGAAAATGGACTATTCTACTGGTACTTATTACAGAGAATATTCAAACAGTAACATTTATTTCACTTTGATCTGGCCAAAAGTTTAAGTTATACCCTGCATTATAGGACAGTGTCAGACCTAAATGCACTTCAATTCAATATCATGTTTCAGTACATGAAGTTTAAAAAAAACCTGTTGACTGAAGCAGCTGCACATGATCGGTTAAGTTTGTGCAAAAGAAGAGTCGCATGACACGTTAAACGTCACCTTCTGCGTGAAAACAAGTCTGAAGCAGGAAGCCTGAGTTCACAGAAAAAGGTGAAAACCAGCTTTGTGATTCCCGTGATCGCTGACTGAGGTTTCAGTTTTTGTCAAACCGACTAACACAAAGATAGCCTGGCTATGTCAAAAATGTAGAATTTAGATTCATCATCTAAGAATGTTAACTTCAAAGTAAATTAGAAGCACATACAGAAAATAGCTTTTCCTTTAATATCTCTCAATTTTAATATTCTTTACTATTTAAACTGCATTTATGTAACTGCATGCCCAACTAGTCTAAAAAAAGAGACAAACAGCGAGAGAGAGTGAGCAATAGAGAGAGAGC